GCTGCTTGGCAAAGCTCCTCGGCGCTGCCCTGGCTCTCGGGGGCGGAGCTGCGGCGCGCGCGTAACTTCTCCGCCTGTCGTTCTCCTTGTAGGTGCGTGGAGGGCGGCGACGGAAGAATGGGGCACGGAGGACTGGAATGAAGATGTAGGTACTCTCCCAACCCCTCTCCTCTGTGAGTCTGCCCTGTTTGTCCACCCACAGCTACAAGGCGAGCGCCAAGCCCGTCCTCCCCAAACTGTGGCCGTAACCCCAGCCGGGCTCCCAGTTCCATGATGAACAAGTTAAACGTCGCTGTTTCCAAAGCACGCGTGTGTCAGAGCTTGTAGGAGCCCGAGACGGGAAGGGACCTCCCGGGGCATCGAGTGTGCTCCTCTCATTCCCTGCAACTGCCTGATGAAGTTCTTCCGTAAACTGGCCTGACCCCCCACGAGGTTCTCGCTCGGCTCCTCCGGGGGAGCGGCGGTTCGGGAAGGTTTGCCTTCGCTCCGCACCACGTGCCGCGGAGGAGGCAGCAGCGGTGCCGTGCGCCTGTCGCCTGCCTCTGCTGGTCCCTGTGGTTTGGAGTGAGCAGAAGCTCTTGGCTTCACCTTCTGGCCTCTTCCCTGGCGTGTCTCGCTGCTTTTTGTTCTGTACCCGGCGTCTCCTTGAGGGGAGGACGGGCGCTGTTATCACCTGCTTTTAGGGCCTCTGTATCAGTTTCTTCTGAAACGGGCTTCAGTCCCCGTCTGAATCGAGGGAGAACTCCTGTTCTTGCAGATGGGAGCAGGGCTGGGCGCTTTTTTTCAGTAGTAGCGTTAGTTTTGCATGCTCATTTTTGCGAAGCCTACAGAAGGGGCGCGGAGGGAAAGCTTTGGCTCTGCAGGCACCGTCTGAAGGAAGCGCTCCTGCTGTGTTTGGAGACGCGAGCAGCTTCTCTGGCTGTTCGGTCAGGTCTCGGCTTGGAGAGAGACTTTGGCCCTTCGTGCCTGCCATCCGCGTGATGTGCTACCAGGGGTTCCTGATTTTGTTTTTTAAACTCTTGCAGTTTAGTTGCTGGCGGCTCCTCAGTCTGGAATAAAAGCTGTGCGTATTCAGATGTGTTCTGGGCTAAATCACAGGTGGTCCTTAACCCTCCTCTTGGTTTGTTTTTTGAGCCATGTTTTTTTTCCCTTCCATAGTTGAAGTAGATCTGTTGGTCTCTGGTCAGATCATCCAGGCGAGGCCAGGGCCACTGGAAGCTTAACTATGGGTCTGAAGCTTTTTTTCTTTGACTCTTCTAGCAATGCTTGCGCCCACCGGTGCGGTGGGTTTTGCAGATCCTTGCTGCGTACCGTCAGTCCAGGCCACCTGTCTCGGATTCTAGCAGCCCTCGTGGATTTGTGGACTAAGGGAAATTTGTAGAAGGATTTGTTTGGGTTGGTTTTTTCCACTGGCAGGTGATTTGTGCGCTGGCCTGAGAAGAAACAAAAGAAATAGAAGCTGATTCTGATGGGGTGCCAAATGTTAGAGAAGTTTAAGTCTAAACACTTGAATTTCTTGAATCTTTCTGTGGCTGTTTGTCTCAAACATTTGTGTGCTTTACTCGGAGTCCCGAGACGCTGTTGTCACTTTTGGATTCTTTTTTTTTTATCTTTCAGCTGTCTGAGACAAAGATCTTCACAGCCTCCAACGTGTCTTCAGTGCCTCTGCCTGCCGAGAATGTGACAATCACAGCTGGACAGAGGTGATAGCCCATGGCCGTGCTCCTTGCTTGGGGAAAGTGGCACCCAAGTCCCAGAGCGATTTGCAATCTCAGACTGAACCTTGCCAGCCCGCTAAAATGCAGCAGCTCTGAATAAGTTGAGGTGGATTGAAATGGACGTGTTGAGTTAGGAATTTCTGGGTGCTGATCCTGGATTCTAGTTTTCCTAGGCTCTGCTGCTGGTTCGTCGGATTTGGGGGCATTTTGCTGTGTTAAATTAACGGGAGACATGCCTTAAGATAGAAGGCCGTGCAGCATCTTGCTTGGTCTCTGTCCTTTTGAGGTTTCTGCCGGCGGTTGTGAGCTAGTGTTCTGCAGAGTCATTCAGTTTGTAAAGTAAAAGCTGTAAATCGCGAGGCTGGAGGTAGAACAGAGGCATGTGACGGCGCTTCTGTTAACCCCAGCGGGTTATCTTCTTTCTTTACCCAGAATTGATCTTGCAGTGCTGCTAGGAAAGACCCCTTCTTCGATGGAGAACGAGTCAACAAGCCTGGAGTCATCCCAGGCTCCTTCCTTGGCCCAGCCGCTGGTGTTCAGCAATTCCAAGCAGAGTGCTATATCCCAGCCCGCCTCTGGGAACTCCTTCTCTCACCACAGCATGGTAAGGAAATACTGGTCTCTGCCAGCGTGTGGGTTTTGGCAGGTGTTGGTTTCCCCGACGTTCTCTGGGTGGCAGAAGTCCTCTGCGTGGGTGATTTGCCAGGCTGCTCTAAATACGGAGGGATGAAATCCTCTCTTGCCCTGGTCAGGCTTCCAGCACGTGCTTCTTTCCTGCTCAGAGGAAAGGCAGAACTCTCGCAGTCCAGGGCTTGCAAACTCCACAGTGTGAGAAGTGGAGCTGGTTGGGAGTTTGGTGTGGGGTTAAAGGTTGGCGTCTACTGATGGGTGAAGGAAGGAGAACCCGAACCAGGGATGTGCGCAGACCTGGGCAGGTCCTTCTTTGCGTAACGTCAGCAAAAGAAATAAAAATGATGCACTTAATGGTGAGAGAGTTCAGGAAGGATTTTCAAAAGCACCTTAACTGTAAAGCCAAGTTCTCCTGGTGGTTCTCTTTTAAAGCTATTATCTGTGAACTTCCTTCGTAAGCCTCCATGACACTGTAAAATGCCACGGATTGGGCAACAGGGAAGCGTACCCGCACTCACGTGCGATAAAGGCGGTGAGAGAAGTATGAGCTCTCCTTGCCAGCGGTGTCTGTGTGCCTCTGGAGCTCGAGAGCGTTAAGCTGAGGCACCCAGTGAGAAGCAGCAGGATACAGTGCGCCGGGGCGCACGTTAAGAGGTGTCTCTGTCCTCTGAGTCCGGTTCCAAGCCAAGGGAGACGTTGACTTTGTTGTTTCGTTGCTCCAATGGCAGGTGAGCATGCTGGGGAAAGGGTTTGGAGACGTCAGGGAGGCCAAAGGCAGCAGTACAACAGGTTCTCAGTTCCTGGAGCAGTTCAAGACGGCCCAGGCGCTGGCTCAGCTGGCTGCTCAGCACACCCAGCCTGGCGGGAGCACCACGGCTGCTTCCTGGGACATGGGATCCACCACGCAGACCTCGTCTCTCGTGCAGTACGGTAAGGACCAGCAGCCTGGCACCCCCCCCCAAAGGGCACCGTCTTCTCCCAGCGCCGCAGAGGGTTTCTATGAAGGGCCAGATCACAAGTTCACAACCAAGCCAGCTGCGGGGAAGAAATTCAAAGAACCCTGGGTGCAAGTTTGAGAGTAAAATGTAGTAGTGTGTGTGAGTCCCTGTTCCTTTTCTACTTCAGGCAGTTGAATCCATCTGCCTCGTGGTCATTCAGCTTCAGGGCCAGGCATCTGGTGTTGCTGAGACCCTCACAGTGTGCAGAAGTGTTTCCTGGTGTAAAGCTGTGTAACAGAGCAGGGGCCTGAAGCGTGGGCAGCTCTGGAGAACAGTTCCCAACTACCACCACTTGTCAGGCTCGTTTCACTGCTGACCTGGTACTGTCTTTTAAAGGAATGTGATTCTGGTGACTGTGAAATGCCAAGAGGTAACTCTACCTCTGGGCTGCCATGAGGGAATAAACAGGGACTGAGAGAGGCTCCTGCTTTTCAGAGTTGATGCTGAGCCCTGCTGTAGTCCAGGACTAGCACCATATGTTTTCAGCTTGTATGTTTTTATTTCTTGCTATAGGGAAGTGTCTCTGGTTCACATCTAAGCCGAAGAAGAATCGAGCCCTGTGCTAGTAGCAGTCAGTGGGGGCAGCTCCCGATCTTTTCAGCCACAGAGGAGAGTCAGAGAGAATAGATGGTTTTTAATAAGCTGTGGTAAGGCTTAGGTGAAGGAGGAGGGTGGTGCAAAGGCCTGAGGGTGGGCAGCCCTGAGCAGCTGGAGGATACCCAGTGCTGGCAGGGGAAAGAGCAGGCGGTGGAAGGCAGCAGTGTCAGGCCCGTGCAGGACTCTTCACGTGCAGTGCTTCCACGCAAGGAACTCTGAGGTCTGGCTTTCCCTGGAGGATGTAGGACTCGTGCTGTGCCAGCTCGCTTTGTCCTGTAGAGATGGTGGAAGGAGCTGAGGGGAGAGGGGCTGAAAAGAAAGGCTCGGTGTTGGTGGTGGTGAGAGCGTGGGGCTGGGAGTGGAGGTGCTGGGGTTCTCTGCCCTCTGATTTTTAACAGGCTCCAGGAGGAGTCGTAGTGTGAAATGCTTTTATTTTCCTTGATGCTGAGAAGCACCAGAACTGCTCGATTTTGTTTTAAGGAAACAAATCCTGCTAACTCAACTCTGTCTCCCCCCCCCTCCCGGTAGATCTCAAGAACCCAACAGACTCTTCCGTGCATAGTCCCTTCACCAAGCGTCAGGCCTTCACATCCACTTCAACCATGATCGAAGCGTTCATGCAGGAGAAGCCGCCGGTGGTGACTGCCTCCACGACTGTGCCGGCACCTCCTTCCTCGCCGCTGCCCAGCAAAACCAATCCTGTTCCCCAGATGTCCCCAGGGTCCTCGGACAACCAGTCCTCCAGTCCCCAGCCAGCACAGCAGAAGCTGAAGCAGCAAAAGAAGAAAGCCTCGTTAACATCAAAGGTGTGGAGCGATGGTGGGGACGCGGAGGCGTCGTGTTGCGCGAGAGCTGCGGGAAAATCCATGTGGGTTGGTGGGGGAAGGGCTGGGCTTGGCCTTCCTGCTCTTGGCATTGGGTGTTTGGGGGGGTGACGGAGAAAAGCTTGCCTGCCTGGCTTGGACGGTGTCATTATGGTGCATAACTACCATCGTGCTGGGAAATGTGGGTACTAAAGTCACTCTGTGCTGCTCCCAGGGAGTGATAGAGCCTTTCTGTTGTTCCTCCCTTGCAGATCCCTGCGCTGGCGGTGGAAATGCCTGGCTCGGCGGATATCTCAGGGCTAAACCTGCAGTTCGGGGCGTTACAGTTTGGGTCGGAGCCTGTTCTCGCCGAGTACGAATCGACGCCCACCACAAGCGCCGCCGCCAGCCAGTCTCAAAGCAGCCTGTACACCAGCACGGCTAGGTGAGGGCCCGGCGGGCGGGCCGAGCAGCTGGCTGTGGAAGGTCGCTGCTCCCGTGGGCTGTAGGTGCACCGCACACTAGTAGACCCTTTCTGACTGTGCCGTGGTCACAAAGGGGGGACAACGTGTGCCACAGCAAAGCCTGAGTTGCCAGCAGGCTCAGTCAGGAGCTCTGTGGCTGCCTGGCCTGCGGTGCTTACACAGAAACCAGACGTTCCCTGCTGCTGTTCACCGGTGTTACTGGGAACACAGGAGGGGAATCCCCGGCGCAACCGCTCCTTGTCCCCGGTGAACAGATTCTGTGTGCTCTGTCCTGCTTTTTGCCTGGCAACCTGGGACCCTGGGGAGTAGGGCTCGTGATGCCTTCCCAAAACAAAGCGTTTCTGCCTCCTGTGGGCTGACCCTTCGTACCTGAGCAGTCCCTTGAGCGGCAGCAGCTGGTGAAATCCCACCTGGAGCGCAGCAGTGTGGGAAGCCGGGCTGCAGCTGGGTGCCAGCATCCTCCTGTGGTTGGGCTGGCCCCTGGCTGGGGACGTTTCTCTGCTTGGTTTTCTTGGCTGCTTTGTGTGGCGCCTTTATGCCGACGCTCGGGGCTCTTTGTTTTGGAGCCTTGAAATGAAGAGCCGGCAGTCTGGGTCAGCAGCTTACAGCAGGGCTGTTTGGGAGGGAAATGTAAGCAACTTTTTTTTTTTGTTGTTGTTTTTCCCCTCTTTGTAGTGAATCTTCATCCACAATTTCGTCCAATCAAAGCCAGGAGTCTGGTTACCAGAGCGGCACAATACAGACAGCAACATTTACCTCCCAGAACAGCGCTCAGGGACCACTGTACGAGCAGAGATCCACCCAGACGAGGCGATACCCCAATTCAATCTCCTCCTCGCCCCAGAAAGATCTGACCCAGGCCAAGGTAGGGGAATAGCTTTGCTCACCCTTTGTGCTGAGTAAGCCTGGCATGCGAAGCGCTGTCTCGGGGGGGG